TGATTGCGTCATGTCAAAGAGTTGCACCGACCTCAAGACCTCAATTCTTCGGAAAGTAATTTTTTCTTCTATCGATTTTATAGATGCTTTGAATCCTCGAGAATATGGACAAAAAGTGCGATTACTTATAAGAAAGCCTTTTCTTACAATTTTGATGTTTTTGCGAAGCGCTTTAAAAAGCGCTAAAATTTCCATAGCACAGGTTTATTTTCTCTCATATGCGATAACATTGCAAATTTCCTAGAAGTTTTTTGAGATGCATCGAATGCACTCATTTCACTCTCTTCTAGCTGAAAAAGATACTAAAGCAACATGAAAATGCTCAAGTTATTACCGCGAGAACTAGCTCAAGTGGCTTTCCCGGAATTAATTTTGAATAGCGTTTCGTCAGCTAGAAATATTGAGTGGGGTTTGTGAAAGCTATCTTTTATGTTTTCTTTCGTGCAGAACTAAAAAAAATGCACCTCGCATCTATTTGTCTGTCCTCCTCTATGTAGGCATAGTTTTGACAAGACATATATAGAGAAGTTGTTAAAGAAGCTAACTTTATTTACCCATGACCCGTTACAAGTTAAACTCAATGTCTGCACATTTTGCAAGTTAAAGTTCTCAACTTATAAAGCCGATTAAGTGAATTAAACCGTTCACTCAGAGAATGCCTTCTGTGCATGTAATACGATGAAAAGAGGTAAGGAAAGGAGAAAGAGATAGCGAGGTGACTGCAGCCTAACAGATGTAAGCCTAATCGATAAGTGTTGTACCATTTCTTACTGAGCACTCATTATGGCTACGGCTAATGTGATTTTCGTCCGCGAACGCCACCTTGGTAGTCGTGATTCGTACGCACTCGCGACTTCGTTATTAGTTAGTGTTTCGGACACACACAAAAATTGACAAAACTTCAGCCTACGCTGAAGGAAATGCCGACGCTTTCTTGAGACTCGTTGACACTGTTTATATGAACGCGAGGATTCACAACAGATCTTTTGCAGCATAACTGTGACATATCCTTCGTTCAAGCATTCAATGCCAAAAAAACAAAAAGAAAAGGAGAAAAGATGATGGTATGGTTTTTTAATTTAATTGTGGGTAAGCAGATCGAGGTGTGGCAAATGTTTTAGATGAAATTTCTCTTTTAGGCAAATCAAAAGTTTTAATAGTTACAAATTTCCCCGCCAGAAATCTTATGAATATATGCCAAATAAAATAATAAATCGGATTAGTGTAAGATTCGGTAATTTGGTAGAAATGAAAAAAGTGTATATATGCGAATACACTATGAAAATGAAACTAATTCTCCCCTGCCTACCCAACGGCGAGTTTAAACTTACAACGTAAGACAAGATATTGATCATAATCTTGATACAAATATCGATTAAAACACCATTGATTGGCCAAATGGCACAAGTTTTACTGCAGTTAACAACAACAACAACATCTTAAATTTTATGTTTTTGAAGTAATGCACAACGTGCAACATCGCCTTTAAAGCCAATAAAACCTTTCCCTTGCTTGTTTCCTCTTCGTCGCTTCATTATTTATTGACCAACGGGTCAAGCTTTTACAGCAGCGACAACAAAAACAATCGCAACAAACAATGACGGTTTCTTGCCAAGTGTGCAGAGAGAGAGACAGAGAGAGAGAGAGAGAGATAGAGAAAGAAAGAAACAGTTTTCTACATATTTATTGGCATTTCAAAGGGAAGGGCAACATCAGTACATATACACATTCTACGACGAAGGATGGATGGAAAATATCACATGCTTTTAGTAATGGATGCGTATATACATGCCTTGAATACATCATAATTTTTAAATCAGGAAAAGTAACTTTTACTTCACTACAATCTTTTAATTCGTTATTTGCAGAAATCTTCAATATATATATATATATATATATATATATATATAGGCCCTCAGAAGAAAAGAAAGCAGACAAACTCTTTAACTTGAATACATTTTTAAAAGACACTTTGATGATATATTGCATCGCTGTATTCATAGATATAAATGACATTCACATAAACTTAATAGTTAATGCAAACGAAGTTATTTTAGTAATAACATCGAGAAAAATAAACTTCAATAAAATGCAAAGGAAAATAAATGAAAAAAAAAAAAAAAAACGCACGCACACGCACGCACGCACCCATGAATTCATTGGCAATATGTGTTTGTCGATGAATAAAATAAATGTGTTTGTATCTATTTTGTATTGTTTACGTGACTTTTGTTTTATACCCTAAATCCTTAAATATGTAAGAATATAGCACACAACCATTCACAATATAGCACGTGTTGAGAAGTAAACTGAAATGAGAATGGAAGGAAACACAAACTACACAAATATCAACAATAACACATGAGTTACTCCTCTGTCTGTCTGTCTGTCTGTCTGTCTACGTAACATATTTACGTCGTATTCATAAACTATTACTGTATATATATACGTTTGTTTGTATTGCGTGCAATACACCCGCTTTAGTATCATAAACTTTTCATTTTTATTATTAATTTGTTTTTTCTCTTTTTTTTTTTTTTTTTTTTTTTACATCTTTTTTCACTTTTAGTTCTCATACAAAAATTAACAACAATTACAAAAGTAAAATAAAACCTGTAACCCATACATAAAACTCTTCAAGCGCCAGTTTTAGTACACATACATGTGTGTAACGGTGCATGCGTGCGTGTAAAGGTGAGTGCTGATGTTTAGTATACGTACATATAAAAACATGTACGTACTTGCAGATATGCGCTCGGGTCACGGATAAATAGAAACTTTCACAGTAACTATTAGGGTTTCCCATAATGTACCAGAAATTTTACAAATAATTTACGATAAATGATAGAATCGAACTGGTATAAGAAACCACGCCCTACACGCCTTACGACGAATTTTGGATATCAAATAGTTTATCGAAACGTCTGTCAAGGCTATTTTCACTTTAAACATTAACAGGAGGAGCTGGAAATTTTCAAGTTTTTTAAAGTGTTGTTTCAGTTTTTTCTTAGCAAATTTAGGCATACTTCTACGCCCATTTATTATGCTTTATCATACATACTAAGTTATAACTTCCGTGTATGAACTTTTCGAATACACAGAGGGAAATGTCTAAATCGATGGCGAACAATTTGCATTATATTCTGCGCCCAGGCACAAGCGTTATATATCGTTTTTAAAGTAAAAGACGCCAAAGCCCTTTGAGAGAAGAGGAAGCACTCGTAATTGTTGACGCAAGCGACTCTGTAAATGTAGACCAAGCTATCACAAACTGTTACATCATTTTATCAAGCGAGTTTCGACCTCGATTCTGGGTAGTTAGAAACATGCTTTTTACTGCCACTAAGATTGGTTTTTATTTCGTTTTTGCTCAATACTAAGCTTTTGATTCTATTATCGGCAATAGAGTTTTTATTAGTAATAAAACAAAGCAATAATTATAACAATAATATAAGTAGTAATAGTAATGATACTAGTAGCGAGTCTTAGTACTAATACTTAGTCGCAGAAGTAGTAGCAGTAGCAGCACTTAGGCATTGTAGCAGCAGTAACTGTCATAGCTAATAGTGGTCATTCGTCGTAGCAGTAGTATTAAGTAGTAGCAATAGTAGTAGCAGTAGTAGTTATAGTAGTAGTAATAACTCGTAATAGTAACGATAATGGTAGTAGTACTACTGACAATAATATCAAATTGTAAACATAGAAAGAAAGATTAAATTTTTTCCAGCAATAAAAACTGTTTTTCATATCTAAGAATTTCGCAGAGCTCAACATATGGGAAACCCTTAATTATTATGTAATTGGTGTTTGCAAGTGTTTTGATCAGCGATATCTATTTGTGAAAATGATAAAGCAATGCGAACGCTTAAATTGTATGATTTGGGCAATTCTCTACACGAATTCAGCGGTTCCGAAGAACCGTGCTTATCGACACCAAAACGCAAAGGTTTGCTGTACCTATGACGGGATCAGCAAGATGTAGTATATTACGAGTTGTTAAAACTGAATGAAACTGTTACTGCAGATGTCTACCGAGGTCAACTGGACAAACTGAACGATGCTTTGCTGCAAAAAGAGATCAGCAATAGCGGTTAACAGACGCAAAGTCATCTTATTGCATGACACCGCTCGGCTACAAGTTGCAAGAGCTGTCAAGGATACACTGTTGCAGTTCGAATGAAAAGTGCTGCCACGCCCAGTATACTCAGCAGTCATAACACTTTCTAATCACCACTTCTTCAGAGCGATACGGTAGCATAGCTTGATTGTCATACGGTTTCGAAATGCTGAAGAGATGCGAAAATGAATCAATAATTAGATCGCTGCCAAACCAATATCGTTCTTTCGACACGGCAGACCGGAAAAAGTTATAGAAATTGATGGCAAATATTTGGGTCGATATATCAACTTACGCCGTTTTCAAGTAAAAAAAGCGATTAAAATATACGCAAGCACATAACAAAAACTTTTATGTGCGCCAGCAATTGTTTATTGAGTGTTTGACGCCCAAGATACCCTTTGAATTATGTTTTAGTTTCAAGTTTCAAGATGGTATAAAGATTATAAGAAAGTAAAAACTTAAGTTTACCTTTAATGAAATTATTTACTGATAAAATTTTCAAACTACGTATTAAATTGTTTTAAGCAGTTTTAATCACACATAGTACAAACTTATTTTTAAAACGAAATAAAATATCTTGAACGAAAAAGTTAAACATGTACATTCGACTTAAAGCGAAGTTTAGACACTGGAGGTGTGACGTGGTATGTATACATAGAAGAAAGACAAAGCCATGCAGCTTTCTTTCGTTTCATTTCACGTAGATGCGTTACATAACATTTAATATTCGAAAAATGTTATGTTCATGCTCAACTTATGTTCAAACGTCACATTACGCATAATACAAATATATTATGGGTCACTTTTTTATATCTAAGAACCCTTGTTATATGGATCTACTTCAAGCAAGTCATACAAAGAAAAAAATAAGTTTACTCACCACTTGTGTCACTTGAAGAGGGCTGACTACCTGGATGTAGTTGTTGCTGCTGTGATGTCATTTGCGCTGATGCAGTTGCGGTTGTTTGTTGCTGAACATGTGCATTTGGTGGACAAAAGGCGCTAGGACCTCCTACTCCAGGAGGCGGGTGTAAACCTGAAGTAGCGATTGCCGGCGTTGCAGCGTAAACATTACTAGCACGATATGTTGGCGGAGGGGAACCGGGCATTGGGGGAGGTGGAGGCCCAAAGTGAGGTGGAGGGCCACCACTAGCATAATGATGTGGTGGTGGCATACTGTGATGTTCGCTACCAGCGGTCGGTTGATACTGATGATGTCCATGTGCATGCGCATAAGGATGCTGGTGATGGCCGCCAGCATGCGGTGACATGTGATGTGCATGGTAGGCAGCAGCTGCTGCAGCGGCTGCCGCTGCATAAGAAGGTGGCGGAGGGCCGTGATGATCCGTTGGTCCATGTTCTGTATGTATTCCTAAATCAGTTGAATGATATAAAGCAGCCACCGGATTGATTGACTCAGCCACCGAGTTCCCCGCGGAGGGTTGTGAAGTGCTACTCGATGATGGAGGAGGTGTCGCAATAACATGACCTATGATTTATTTATTAGCTATAGATTACAACACTTCACGCCAAAGGAAACCATAGACAAGCAGCAACAATTTTATATCTTACTTACTTTCATTAGCAACACTGCTTACTCCTGCGGCAGCACCTGGAGGCAGCATGCTGGATAACGCACTTAATGGAGTATAAGATTTCGGAGGAGGATCCTCCGAACCTGGACGCAATAATCGCTCTTCGGTAACACTTGACTGAACGCGATACTGCATTTTGCAATAAGCTTCTTGTCCCGAACCAACAGCGGAATTAACATACACGCCGGTTATAGTAACATCCGTATCCTGAACAATAACTACACTTGACGAAGTGGGCCGGCTTGATTCTTTAGAGTCCTTGCTTGTGGCAATACTAGTATTACAACTTCCAGTGTTAGTCGATGTAGTTGTAGTTGCGTCCGTATTAGTCTCTTTGGTTTCTTTGGAATATTTGGAATCATTACTCTCTTCGCAAATATTTAGAGATTTTTCTATTTTTGTAGGGGTTTTAGGAGTATTGGTTACAGTAAGGGGTACCTTGCCATCCATATCTGTGACGGCCGAATTTGCAAAAGTTTTCTTAATCTCTTTTTCAGCGCTCTTTCCGATTTCTTTCGATTTTTTGCTTGTATTTTTCCTTTCATCTTCGTAACTCTCATAGCTGCTGCATTCACTGCCTAAATTTTTGTCCAGATGTCTTTCCACTTCATACGTTGCCGCCACAATAGCACTGGCATTTAAACTGGCCATGCGTTTACGTGCTAGAATGCCTTTATAATCGCCTATCAGATCCTCCTTAAGAATTCTTTTACGTTTTTTAGGGAGATTCTTCGCATCCGATTTACTTTTTGACACTTTACTTTTCTCTTTTTCTCTCTCATCTTCTTTTTCACTTACCACTTCCTTATCGCTAGACTCTACGTTACTTTCGTCTTCAGAGGTTGCTACAGCTAATTTCGCCCCTTTTTTGAGGGACTTTTTCATTTTTGTGTATTTCCGTTTCACTTTGATAGGTTCCTTATCTTTGTTATGTTCGACAGTATTCTCGTTTTTAGCTTTACTTTCTTCTTCTTTACGTTCTTTAATTCTCTCTTTTTCTAGTTCCCTTTCCTTCTTAGCCTGAAGCCTCTTCTGAAGTTTTTTCTTTTTCAATTTCATGCGCTCGATTTCGTCATGCTCGCTATCGCTGTCGAATTCCCAATGCTTTCCTAGCCCCCGGCCTCCAGAAACATTACGTAATTCACGTTTCGGCTCTTCCACAGGCTCTTCTTCGCTATCTTCTTTAATTGTGTCTGCGATTTTTAGAGGATCTTCGTTCTTTTTATCTTTTTTTGCCTTGGATTTATCATCGATCAGCTTAGTAGTGTCCTTCTCTTTAAACTTTGCAGTGTCTTTTTCTACTTTATCTCTTTCCTTTGTTTTAGACTTCTCCTTATCGACATCCTTTTCCTTACTTTTGTCTTTCTCTTTATCCCTTTCGTCTTCACTGCCATCTAATGTTCGTATTTTTGGAGGCATCAAGGTTGCTTTCGATAAACCTAATTCGTAGGCCGTTCTAGACTCATTTTCATATAGGCATTGCACTTTAGCTAAGGCATTGAGCGAAGCCATTCGTTGTTTTTTCTGACCGAAAACAATCAACTTTTGTTCATCTTCGGAATCACTACTACTCTCTGGTGACGAAGATGCTTCGCTGTCTCCGCTATTGTTTTTATCTTTACTTTTCTCCTCTTTTTTTGTTAATTTACCTTTTAAAACTTTTGATACCTTCTCCTTCTGCTTTAATGCCGGCTTTTTAGCAGCTTTGTTATTTTGAGCTTTTGTTTTTAAAACTTTCTTGGACTTAGCGGGTGTTATCTTTATGGCTTCCTTATCATTAAGACACCCAGGACTTTCTACTATCGTCTCTCTTTCTTTTTTCCGAGTCTCTTCAACATCACAGCTCTCCTGTTCTTGTTCTTGATGTTTTACTGACGTAGTCATAGCTGTTGCTTTTAGTTGTGATTCTTTTTTGAATTTTTCTCGGAATCCACTGAATTTAGGAATTTCTCGTTTCGGAGTAGTTTTTAAGGGCTGATTATCTTCATCTGAAAATTCTCTCAAGTTTTTTAATGTTGGCAGTTCCATTTTAATAAATCCCTCATCTTCAGAGCCAGACTTAAAGTCATAAATATCATCTTTATTCTCCATTTTCTTCTGTTCTATTTTGGCACTCAGAGTTAAAAGGCGCGATGCTGGATTGGTCTTCTTCATCGGTTTGCTGATCTTTGGCTTAATAGGATTAACTTTAAATTTAGTTTGTAATCGATGATTAATATCTGAGACTTTCTTTTCTTTCGGGGGGACAAACAAACTTTTAAGCGTTTCTTTAGCTTTTACTTCCGTTCCTTTCAGTTTACCTTTATTATCCATTTTTGATACATCATTATTTTTTAATTCTCTTTGAGCTAATGCCCTGTGCTTTAAATCGCTTTTTCCCAATCCGGTTACGGTAATTTCTTCAATTTCCATTTGCACAACTTCAGTATTCGCATCCAATATTACACTTAATATTTCTTCTTTCTCTTCAGTCATTAAATTTGATTTATCTTCCATTTTAATTATTTTTGGGGATAGAATTCTTTTATGAACTTGAAGACCGCCCTCCGCTTTAGGACTTTTATTGAAAAAATCAAGTGTTTTCTCTTCTTTGTGCACTTGCTCCTCATGTTTAGGAAATGATACATCTTTAGTTTGCTCCGAGCTGTTAGCTTCTTCTCTGATAGGTTCTGTCTTTGGAATCGATTTTAATTTCGGACTTTTCAACTTTTTAGAGGGAGTATCATTGTCACTATTTTCATCCATAAGCTGATCCGATACGTGACGATGGAATTCCTCTGAGTCGACTTCAGTCGACAGCTTTTTATTTTGCTTATCAGTTACAATATTAAGTTTTTCAATTCCAAAATTTTCTTCTCCGTTTTGGTTGTCATCGTTCTTCTCTAATGCAGCTTCTTTGCAGGTATTATCTTTTTTAACTCCTTTAAGTGTCGCTTGTATTTTTTTAGATTTTTGAGTATTTTCCAATTTGGCCTTTTTTGCTGCCAATTTCTTCTTTGTTTCAACTATCGGCATCTTGCTTTCTTCTTCTTTTTGCTTCACATCACTCGGATTCTTTTCTCCTATTCGTTTATATTGAGTCTTCTCTTGATATTCTTTCTCTTTATGTTGCTGAGAATGTTTCTCTGGTTGTTTTTGTGCTCGCTTCTTCTCCTCGTCACTTTTTGTTCGTTTAATAGGTTTTGGAGGATTCATGCTAGCAATCACCTTGACAGCAGCCGCTCTTGACTTGGTTTTGACATTCTCCGATATAGAAGATTTCAAACCAAGTTCGGTGATGCTTTCGTTTTTCGGTAATATATTATCAAAACCACTTATTTTAATATCAAGACTCTTTAACATTTTACTAATTGCCTTTGTCTTCTCATCTTTCTTATCGTGAAGTCTTGTTTCCGGTTTTGTAACGCTCTCAGAACCATTACTTAAGCTAGAATTGCTAGCAAGAGAACTGTAGGATACATCAGAGGAGGGTGAATCTTCTTTCTTTTGTGCTTTCTTATCACTCACTGATTCTTGGGAATTTCGTTTCGCATTATCTCTAGACGAAGCTCTTGTTGTTTTCTTCTCTTCGTTTTTTACTTTTTCACTCTTGCTTTCGTTTAGGTTTTCGAACGGTTTATCCGATTCCGATTTTCTTTCTTTGCTAGTCGATTTCAATGATTTCTTTAGCGGCGATGTTAATTGTTTCGATGGAGCTTTTCTCAACGCTGTTGAAGAATCTGCAACTAAGGAAAGCTTCCTCGTTGCTGGAGATTGACTGGAAATTGTAGTTGCGGGACGTTTCTTTGGTGCTAAATTGGGTGTTGCGTGCGCACGGTGCTGCCGCTCAGCAACGGAAACACGTCTTTTGGGTCCCATCCCCCTAAAAATATTATATAAAAAAAAAAAAAAATTATAATAATAATTATATTAATTTCTATGTAAGAGTCATTGTCTCTGTAATAATAGATGAAAATTAAATGCTATCCAAAATATAAAATTGGACATAGAGTCAAAAGATGTAGTTATGCAATGTTACTTGATCGGAGAACTGAAGACGATAATGGAAATCAACTAAATTCATTCAAATAGCGGTCGAGCCCCAGTATTCGCAAGCTAACTCCCTATGCAATTTTCTTATTATCGCGACATCGATGTTTTCCAAACAAACTTAGCGCAAACTTAGCAAAGCCAATCAAGACTTTAAATAGATGTTCAAATCTGAAGATTGCCTTGTTTGGCGAAGTAAGGACTACGTAGTAAAACATATGAGGCAGTCTAGACAATAATTTAAATGCTGACAGGATGACCTTGAAAAACAAAACGAAAAAGAAATCCTTCTTAAACACGGAAAACACAGGTAGACACTAGTTTAACAAAAATAACTGCGTTCGAGTTGAATGACTGCGGCTGCCGTTAACTTTCCTTTAATGCCCATTAAAATCACTTGTGAACATTTAGACTCCAACTTTATTAAGATTAATGCTACTTAAATTTTATCGTCTATCTTAAGCGCCAGAATATCCTCGGCCTCGTGATAAGACTTCCGATTACAAGTTTTACTGAATGTTAAGTGAAAAAACTTTTTGATCAGTCATCGTTAAAAGAAAATACCATGCAATCACATAAATGCCATATTACTGGGTAATCTTTGGCCATTCTTTCGATAATTATATGATTTCTTTCGACAAAAATAGTTCATTTTTTAAAACAATAATTGCGCAAGCCGTACAACTGGGGCTATTTGTTTCATGTAGCATAATGTGGTACGCATGCTGTACCGAAATGTACGCCGGCCAGGAAAACAAAAGAAATAGATTCGGAGATCAGGCAGATTTGGAAGTTATCAATAATGTCAGTGTGATACTAAGAATGGGGAATTGTACAGTGTTTTCCAATAATTTGTACACATCATTGCCCTTGGCAGACTATTTATCAAAACAAGGTATCGATCGAATCGAAATTTTACAATAGAATAGATTTCCTAATTGCAGATGCGCGGGCAATAAGGATCTAATGAGAACGACGGTTCGCAATCCCTAGACAATATTCATCGATATGATAAGCGACTTAAGTATAAGATCGATGTCTCTTGCCCCAAAATAGTGCAAGAGTATAATATGCGTATAGATGGAATGGGCAACGTAGATCGCCATCGTATAAATGCCAACGGCCGTCTTCGCCTATCATCAATTGCATCTTGCCGTAATAAATACATGGCTATTTATGAAGAGAAACTTCATTGCAAGGAACATCACAAAGATACCAACTAACAAATCTTCAGTCAGTTCAGCAGTGATTTGACTGATGCTCTTTACAGGGGAGATGAACTATGCTTTGATGAGAAGCATAGATGTGCCGAAACTCTCACCTCCCAGCGGTGATCCCCGGGCAACGGCTTCGGCCGGCTAAGAAGAGTTTAAGGTTTTGGGCTGCTAACTCGGCGACGAGTTTCTGAGAGATGGTGGAGGGGTTGGCTGGAAGAAGAGCTCTTACCGAGGAAATATATTGAATGGTATTTAAGTACAATGAAGGTAGTAATCTAGCGAGTGCATGGTAGAGTGCATTAGACTAGTCTACCATGTTCAGTGCAATACCCGAGACCTATATATCTTGAAGAAAAGTAGTTCACTTGGGGCTGGCAACCAGGAAAGTATGGAGAATCCGAAGCAAGTACGGTTGTTTTTAACAACCGCCCAAAGTATGCCATAAGGCTTTGCAAAACAAACTGGGAGCCACGGGGGTCAGGAAGCTCGCCTCACAAAGCCACGTATGCCTGCGGGTATATGATGGACTTTGTCCTTAAGTCGTAATAAATAAATTAATTAATTATACTATTAATGCAAAAAGGAATTGACGGACGGCCTTCCCTTTGGCCGATTGATAGAAAATGTCTGGTAAATTAATTAATACATGCAAAAATGGAAAAGGGATATGACGAATAAGTTTTCCCCTTTTACCTATTTTTACTTTTGAACACATGTCACGGATGCCTGCGGGTAATGCTGGTAATTGATCAACAGCACAGTGGAAGCCTTATGGCGGAAGCAGTCAGTTGATCAATTTGTGAGTCCTGACTGCTTGGGTGCGGCCCTTCGGGGAGTACTCGTGGTGGTTGTGGTTGGCGAGTTCCTAGCTAAAATGGAACAATTGAGTGCAGCTAGGCCTCGCCATTCACCAGAGTGGGGTTTATTGTTCCATACACAATAAACTGTTCTGGACTGTGGTGCTGTTTAGGCCCCTACTCTGTGGGGATTGTCTAACTCGCCAGGGGGCGTAGTACGCTTAAAAGTGGCTTGGGCCACCGTGGGGTTAAGCCTTCCAGGCAGGAACCCACGTTAAACCCTTGCCACAAAATTCTGATGCTCTTTACAATAGGGTATCTCGTGTAAAAGCCAATAAAAGAAATCGGTTTACTAACGGCCGATTAGAGCAAAGTTTACAGGCGAAAAACCATGGAAGGTCAATTCTTCTTTTGTCGTCTGTGAATGTACGGAAAGACGACGTTAGTCACTGGCCTATATTTTCAAATAGGTTGACGAGTAAAATTCCACTATATAAGGATATCATCACACAGTGGTCATGTGGCAAATGCAATGTTCCTTTATGTTTAGATGCCAAAAAAAATAATTGTTTCATGCATTAACCATGTTCATGAACGTAATCAGAAGCATTATTAAAGAAAAATTCGTATGTTTTTTTTTTTTTTTTTTCATCAATTGCATTCATTTCCCGGTTGATTTCAAATTTTATTTATTAAAAACAAAATTTCATGCATCTGAAGGGTAAACAAAAACATCAAGTGTATTATATTGGGTAGCCGTTCGTGATATAGAGCGCCTCTCTAATGCAGATCAACGCCAAGGATGCTCTTGACAAGCGCTTCTATACCCTCAACTATACACTTTAGAGTTATTTGTACTTTTCACTCCGTTCAATTTTGTCACTTGCTGCTCTATGAGATTTTCGAAAATCAACACTTTTACAACAAAAGCAACTAAACTGTTTTATGTCCGTAATATTGACAAGGGGCGTGAGCGAAAAGCAATGCTTATCTCTTCACGAATCTAAGCAAAATAAGTTGCTTTGAAGAGGAAAAAACTATGAAATGTGGAACAATTATGCAAAAGGTGAGTAAGGAATTCCTATACATTTTTTGTATCCATTACACTCTAGGTGCATATACTAGACATACTAGAGAATGTAAAATTTTTTTGTTATATTCAAATTAAATTCAATCGAATGGAGACGACGGAGACAATTTGTCTGGTCAATAAATTACCATAAAATAAGTGAAAAATGAAAAATATGCTTAGCATACGGAAAGAATGAATTTAGGTTACTTGGAAACTTGTTACATCTTTTACGTAAACAGCGTTACCATAATACAGCTTCGAGTGACCGCATCATAAATTCCAAATCGTTCTGATTATTTGTTCAATTTAATTTTTACTTTTAAAAGTTATAGCGTACGGTGATTAAAGACGACTCGCACTGAAGACATATGATTGGTTTTTCGACGGCCTTCAATTGATGGCGAATACTTTAGCTAGGATCATAAATGAAGTTTTAAAGCAATAAATCCGTTTTAGAAATGTTTAAGGGCATCAAACACGAATTCGAACGAAACTTCCTCGACAATATCTATTGAATGACCTTATGAGTTGATCTTTTAAGGAAGGATGAGGCTTAAGTTCTATATACTATTCTGCTCATGATATGTGCAAAGTGTGCGGAGATCAGCTCGAAGGCAATTGTTTTTTTTTTCTTTTTTTTTTATACAAAAAAAGCTAATTAATTATAGATGTGTAAATTGGCAACAAATAAATGAGAAAGAAAGAAGAAATTGATAAATCATGGCTCGAATTAAAAAAGATGAATGGTGGCACGACTAAAGATAAAAAAAACATTGCAGCATTTGTTAATTCGGTGAAAATGAATTGAGTTTTGATAATGAGTCAAAATTTTCAAAAAAAAATTCGCATATTTTACAATAAGAAGATCTATCAGGTCGATAACGCTGAGCAGAAAACAGAAAAGTTTACAGTACCTACGATAAAGACACTTTAGCAAAATTAATAGCAAATGATTCGTTTCATTGTTTCCGGTCCGATTGAGCAATCATTGATAAAGTCAAACCAATTCTGCCGAAAAAATGTAAGTAGACCGACACATGTCATCTAACGTTATTATCGCGAAATGACACATTGATCATAAAACAGATTTTAGATCATTTGCGTAAGGGTGAATAGAATAAAACGCTTGACATTTCGATGCCTAGCGTATTAACGAAACTTCCATTTGCGAATCGAATTGGCTGAAACGAAACGAAATTGCGCAAACTCTTCAGGCAATTAACGATATACGATAGACGAAAGTGGAGGACGTGCGATAATAATGTGTGAAAAGTATCGTAGAAGAACATGGACGAATTTGCATAAACGGTAAAGAAATCTAGCTTGACAAGACGTAAGATAATTTTCTGTTTCATGGCATTGGAAAGGATTAAGTGCATTATCAGATGCTCTAGACTGTTTAGACGATTGATTCCATTCGTTGCTGTTAACAACGTAAGCGATTTAAGCGCGCGATTGAATAAAAGCATCCAAAATTGACTTTTCCCTACCAGGCAACAGCTTGTATCGCTCGCTTAATGATGTAAAATTTTTACTCAAAAAAATAAATGAATTATGAAAATCACATATTCCAGATTCTCTCCCAGAATTCCCACAAGTTTTAAGTTCTTTGCATAAATTGAAATCTATATTAGAAAATTATATTTCATAGGAGGATATGTTCAATAGCAATAACATAATGTTAGATCGTTTCTGATGTGTTGAAATTTTGCTTTTTCGGAACAAACAGACCGCATGTTCTCTAACG